GATAGATAGATAGATAGATAGATAGATAGATAGATAGTAAGACAGACAGACAGAAAAACTTGGGATTAAGAGATGCAAAGCATTTAATGAGTAAGATAAAGAATAGCCCTGATTTTGCCTTATTAGTGACATACAACAATTAAGGACTCTGACTGGGATCCATGTTCTAATCCAAGCCACAAGATACAACCAACCAATTAACAGCTAATCTGCATCACATTGCCTGTGTATTAAAAAACCTGCTTCTTCGTTTAAGTCTTCTTTGATGACGTATGCCTTTAATTCTTACCAAGCAATGCTGTTAATTAAAAAATCCTTCAACCAAAGCAGAATTCTACAAGACAAGTGTGCATTCTTGAACCTGAAGAGCAAAAGAGCTTTGGTTCCCTCCACCCCCAACCCCCACCCCAAATGACTGACAAATCATGAGCAGCTAGCTGAACAGTACTCATACATACATGCATACACTGGTAGTCCTCGACTTATGACCATTCACTTAACGACTGCCACAAAAATAGTAAGAATGGGTCTGGTCACAATTTTACAACTATCATGGCTTATGACTATAAGCATTACAGTCGCAACTCAAGCACTACTAAGGCTTACTACCGTGTTTCTCACAAAATAAGGCTGGGCCTTATTTGTTTGACCCCTGAAAAAACGGGTAGGCCGTCTTTTCGTGGGTGACTTAATTTCCTCTCCCACCTAGAGAGGCCCATACACACATACCTCACCGCGAGGCCACTTTTATCGGCGGACAAAAGCTCCCTTGAAGGCAGAGTCCCCAGCCTCTTCAGGGAGCTTTCATCTGCCGATAGAAGCGGCCTCGTGGCGAGGGGAGTGTGTGTGTGTGTGTGTGTGCGCGCTCGCCCCGAGGCCGCTTCTACCGGCCGATCGAAATGGCTGGTGACTGCATTTGGGAACTTTCCATTGTCTCAAAGAGACGGTCTAAAGGCGAGGGGACATAGGCAGCCATGCCTCACCCTGAAGTGGCTGGGGACTCTGCCTTCAAGGGAGCTTTCGTCTGCTGATAGAAGCGGCCTTGCAGCGAAGGGAGTGTGGTGTGTGCGCGCTCGCCCTGAGGCCGTTTCTACCGGCCGATCGAAGTGGCTGGTGACTGCACTTGGGAAGCTTCCATCGCCCAAAAGAGACTGCCCTAACGGCGAGGGGACACGGGTAGCCACGCCATGCCCTGAAGCGGCTGGGGACTCTGCCTTCAGGGAGCTTCTATCGGCTATCGGGGTATTCTAGCCTAGCCTACCTGCAGGGCACTCCTAAAGGCAAGTTTTCTCCCCATCCCCCCCGCCCTTCCCCTGCCCATTTCTCTTCACCTCGTGTATTTCTAACAAACGATGTGAGAAATGGCAGGGGAAAGTATGGTTTGAATAGGCCTAAATTTGGGGGCGGGGCTTAATTTCACCTCATGCCTAGAAATCATGCTGGGCCTTCCTATTGGTGGAGGCCGTATTGTTGGAGAAACACAGTAGGAAGTAAACTATTTCCAGCATATGGGACTGTAGCTTTCTAAATGCTGAAACCACAACAAACATTCAGTTTTCTTTCTTAGTGAAATACATTCATTTCACATTTTCCATAAAAATCCTAAGATTTAAAAATGCAGCAGGTAAGAATGCATTTGTAATGCTGCATCAATTTATTGTTCTTATTCATTATGGCAGCCTCTTATTCAGAGCCCCCTTTCTATAGTTTATATGGAAGGCACCTTCATAATGCGGTACCTTAAAAAGGAACAATATCAAATCTCACAGAGTCTTAAATGAAGAAGAAGAAGAAAATCATTGGTTTACGTGAAATATCAAAGCTTTTCCAATGTGGAATAGTGGTAAAAGTGTTGCACTACAACTGGGAAGAGCCAAGTTCAAGTCTAAGTTCATTGTGAACATTTATTGGATGACCTTGAGCTAGTGACTTTCTCTCAGCCCAATCTATTCCAAAGAGTTGTTGTGGAGATGAAATGAAAGGAAATCTTCATGTAAGCTGCCTAGAGCTCCTGAGGAAAGGCAGGATATCAAATACATTACAGAGTAACAATTTGTGGGCCATATCAGTTTATGCCATACATTTTAGTAATCTAAAACCTTAGCAAGAGAAGGACATTTTCTTAGGTATTACCACCATCTAATCATATTATACAATATATATATTATACAAACCTTTGTCTAATTTTCTGGATTCCACCTGCATATATTATGTACTTTAGAGATATTTCTTTTTGAATAGCTGAATGATGAAAATATAAAGCAGAGGGATAAGCAGAACTCTATCCTGGTTTTTGATTAGTAACTTCCTGAAATTTGTCATCTGCAAGCTTTTTGCTGCATTATCTTCTGGTAACTTCCAATAACTCACGGTTTTTCAAATGCATATTCATTCTCAGGTTGAAAAATAAAGAGAGTGGGAGGAGGGGCGAGAGATGTGGGATAGAAGAATATTTGGATTTAAAGGAAAAAATATGCATGGGACATAGGATATCTATACAGAATAAGATTTTACAAAGCCAAATTGATCTGTGGGCATTTGATCAAATTCAAATCATTATCAGCATTGTATATTTGGAAGCAAAGCCTCCACACAGGTCAGATAAAGTGACCCTTCATGAAAAAAAAAACACTGGACTATAACTTTCTATAATGTTCTGAGACCTCATCTAGAATTTTGGAAAATAAAGAGTTGGCACATCACACTCCATTTATTACAGTCTTGGCTCTTTTTCCATAATTTACATTCCTTTAAGCAGCAAGAAAAAGGCATGGGGTCAGAGGTTAACACTTAATCTCCGGATAAGGATAAGAACAGCATATTAGGAATTTGGCTTCTAATACCAATCCAGGCAGAATCAGGCTCTGAAAATATTTAGAAGATACATTTTTTGCACATATGCCACACGTAGACAAAGCAACTCCTTCAATGTCATATGTAGCAGTCCTCCTCCAAATACACAAACTGGGTATAAAATTTGGTGAAAAATGCTCTGCAAGATTCTTTGTTAAGAAACTTGTTGCTAATGGTCATTTCTTAGCTGCAGAAACATTTCTTTCCCTTCCTCTTCTATCATAGATGCACAATCTTTTCAGTAATGTAGCCATATTAGCCCTGTTATCTAAAATAGGGTATCAAGCATCATGCTTGGCAGTGCGTTTTCCTCATATAGTGCAAATATTTACCAAGACACATGTCACTAGAAATCTTGAGAACACTGAAAGCTTGCGTGTCCCTCCAGCCCACCTGTCTCTTTTCTCTTGCCCACCAGCAGACATCCCACACTCCACCTGGAGAAAACACCAACTGAATTGTGAGTCTACAATGCTACTGAACTATACCATAGAGCTGATTCTTTCGCATCCCAAGAATAAAATAAAAATATCTGGGACTAGCTTCATAAATCAGCTCAGTGCCTTTTTTTAAAGCCCTTCTACAGCTTTAGAAAAAGAAAGCAAATATTTTGCTTAAATACCCTCCCCCCCAAAATTCAGATTTTGGAAGTAGATGTTGACAGTTGGAAAGTATCAAGAAAAAGGGGTACAGCGGATAGGTTCCGGATCTAAATCAACTGCACCTACATAGCTTTGAAGCAAAAACACAGCACAGAGAGGCTGATGAGAGATTTTAGCAGCTGAAAGGACTGGGGAGGGAGGAATAGTTAATGAGCATATAGCAGTTATTTCCCAGTTGCCAGCATACACCTCTACTGAGGCTGTTCAAGGCACATGTTGCTAAGTGAAGGTAACTGCTCCTTGTCTGTGCCTTTGAGTAAACAGAATGGCTCTGAACAGAGTTCACATCAATGCTCTTTTCTACTGTCTGCCAGACTCTTTGCAGCCTCCCAGTTACTTGCTGTCTCTTCATTCCCATCTCCATTCTATGTTTTTTTTCTCCTAATGACATAATCAAAGCATTTTAAAAGCAAAAATAAAAGTGACAGGCAATGTTGGCAAGAAATATGATGGAAACACACCTAGCCAACTTGTTTGTATAAGATGAGGATGACAAAGTAATTACAAA